CATCAGGCCCCCCCGCGCCCTGCTCCTGCGCGTCCTTGCTGCTTGCGCGCTTGCTCCACCCGCCCAGCAGCTTCCCCGGAGACACCGCCCCCACAGGCGCGGCCCCCGCAGGCGGGGGAATCCCTGGCGACCGCGCTGGCTCCCGCTCTCCCCCGCCCGCCCTGCCCTCCCCGCGCCCGTCCCCTGCGCCACTACCCCAAGTATCCCAGCCACCCGCCCTGCCTTGCAGCGCGGGGCTTTGCGCGGGCGTGACGTCCGCTGATGCTCCTCCCATGCCGCCCCCCTGCTGCTGCTGCTGGCGCCGCATCTCCTCCTTCCTCTGCCGCTGCTTCTCCCGCTCCATCCTCACCCTCCTCGCCTCCTCCTCCAATGCCTCCTCCTGCCGCCGCAACTCTTCCTCCTCGCTCTGCTGCCCACCCCACTCCGCACCCCCATCCCTCCCTCCCGCATCCTCCTCCTCTCGCTTCCTCTCTGCCAACTGCTGCTGCCTCTGCATCTCCTCCTGCTGCTTCCGCATTTCCTCCTGCTGCCTCTGCATCTCCTCTTGCTGTTTCTGCATCTCCTGCTGCCGCAGCCATTCCAAGTCCTGGTCAATTCCGGACTCTTTCTTCCTCCCTTGCCGCCTCTCCCCCTCGCTTCCCATCCAGTCCTCCTCCTCCCTCTCCTTCTCCCCACCTCGCCCCGCACCCTCCTGCCTCTCCTCCGCTCTCTCCCGCGCCCCCTTCTCGCCCTTCTCCGCCACTTTTTCCTTCTCCTTCCCTTTCCCACGTGTCGCGTCCCTACTGGGCGACGTGTCACGCGAGCGCACCACGGAAGACGACGGCTCCTTCTTAGACCGGAATCGCGGGGACGCGGGAATAATACTCCCCTTATCCTTTTCCTTACCCTTCTCCCTGTCCTTATCCTTGTCTTTGCTGCTGCTGGAACGCCAAAAAAACATCCCGCCGCCCCCGCCACCCCCTTCCTTTCCCGTCACTCGCGGGGAGGCAGCAGACGGCTTACTGTCACCGCGCCCCCCGCGACCGCCCGCAGTGCTGCTCGCACTTGTCCCTGCCCCTGCACCTACCCCTGTCCCTGCACCTGCTCCTGCTCCTGCTCCTCCTCCCGCATTTGCGCCTGAACCAGCAGCAGCAGCAACAGTAGGGGCAGTGCTAGCAGCGGCAGCAGCGGCAGCAGCAGCTGCAGCAGGGGCAGCGGTGGCGGCGGCGGAAGGTGCGGCGGAGGGAGCGGCGGAGCTGGGCGTGGCGCTGGTGGTGCTGGCGGTGGTGCGCGGCGTGGTGTCGCACGAGGAGGACTCCTCTGACGACGAGTCTTCGTCCTGCCATCCACACACAAGGGGTGGAGGGGAAGGGGGAGGGGAGGTTGGGAGCGGCAGTGCTGGTGCGCGGCGTGGTGTCGCACGAGGACGACTCCTCTGACGATGAGTCTTCGTCCTGCCATCCACGTGGCCGGGGTGCAGTGGGGGCAATGGCAGCAGTGGCAGCAATGGCGAGGGGAGAGAGCAAAGGGTGGAGAGGGGAGTGAGGGGATTGGTGGGGTAGTGGGATGTGAGCAACAGGAAGACACAAGGGGGTAAGGGACACTATCCGGCCGTGATAAAGAGGCAGTTAATACCTGCACTGCACAGCCGTTCATTCCCTCTTTCTAGTTCCACCAACCATCCCACCAACCATTCCACCAACCGTTTCTGCCCCCGCCAGCACAAGACGCACACACAAAAACAGGTGCATGTACGTTTCCCCGAGCCCACTTGGTAGCACCTCTGTTCTTCAGAATTTCCCGTGACTGCACCCTGTGTGTCACCCTATGCGTTCACCCTATGCGTTCAACGGGTGTGTCACCCCTGTATGTCCCCGTGTGCGTTCAATTGGCATTCAAACGGCTTTGAAACGTCGCCCAAACGGCACCCACATGGCACCCACATGGCACCCAGAAGGCACCCAAAAGGCACACTGACCTGGGAGGGTGCAGGAGGGACGTCTGGGATGGGACGAGCAACGGGCTGACTGGCTGCTTCCGTCTCCTGCCTCCGCGCCTCCTGCCGCTGCGCCTCCTGCCGCTGTGCCTCCTTCCTCTGCGCCTCCTGCCGCTGCGCCTCCTGCTTTTGCGCCTGCTTCACCCCCTCGCTCTGCTGCTTTGCGGCCTGAAGGTGCTGCTTCTGCGCAAGCACGTGGTGGGCGGGGAGGGGAAGTGACCGTGGAGTGGCGATGACTGGAGAGAATGCAGCGGAACGCCTACAGCAATAAGGCAACGAGACGACGCACGAACGTGTTCGCCTACCTGCGCATCTCCCGCCCGTCCCTTGCCGCCACCTGCAGCAGCGGCGGCGGCAGCAGCAGCCGCAGCAGTGGCGGCTTCCGCCTTGCCCGCAGCGGCGCCGTGGCGACCACTAGCGGCCCCCGGTGCCACCCTCCTCGCCGGCACCTCCTCGTGCTCGCTCTCGTCGTCGTCCCTGCACGCGCACGACGCCCCCGCGCACACGGAGAATAGATCAGCTACCAGCTCGTCAAAAGGGCAAGGGAGGAAAGCCTACAATACAAGACTATTTACTTCACGTGGCGGCCGGGAAAAGAGTGGGCAAACGTCTGCGCTAGCATTCGGGGTTGCGAGGAGGGAGGGAGGGAGGGAGGGGGGGGGGGGGGGGGGGGGGGGGTGTAGGGGAGAGGTTTGACGCAGCGTGGTTGTAGATGGCGAACAGTTTTGCGGGTCATACCTTGGGTCGAGCGCCGTGCATTGAACCGTGGCCTGCAAGGCACAAGCAGTGGGACACAATGCCGAGTGAGTTAGCAAAGGAGCTCGTCACGAGCAACCACAGCGACTCCTCTCATCCTCACTTCCTTCTTAGCCTACAAATTGATTGCTGAAGGAGCATAACCACGCGCGTATGAACCACCGAGATTAGTAAACGCCTTATTGATTGCTATGTCGATTGTATTTCTTTTACTTTCCTTGCTTGCTTTCTTTCCCCAATTCGTTCTGTTCCATTCTCCCACCTACTTGGAGCAGCCGCCTTACATGAAGGATGGTTCCAGCGTTGCAGTTCTTCAAGGAAAGCGTTCGCTGATCCAGCCCTCCGAATCCCCCAAATTCCGCTAGGTTCAGCGTCGCTTCACCCAGCACGCCCGATCGCAACGAGTTCTGTGAAAGAGGAGGGGGTTTCATACATCGAAGGAGACGGGGACTCAGAATGCCAGGATAACTGAGTCACGGACATAACGCCTCGTGGTGAAAGACAAAAGACACAGCACGATGTACCAGGGAGAAAGGAAACGTCTCACGATTGTAACTAGAACTTACGGACGAGACGACGAAGCGGTACGGCCTGGGCTCGTACGCCTTGGCCTTGGCGTGGCGAGTGAGCTTCGTGGTAATGGTGACCGACCCGCTCCACGCGCACGAGCCATTCTTGACCGTTGCCTTGGGGGTTTGCCCCTCGGGCTTGCCGGAATCCGCGGGAACGACGAACACCACGAGGTTGTCGAAACCAGACGCCGGCACCTGAATACACGAGAGGGGTGGACAAACATTGTTGTTCGGAGGATGAAAACAACATGCGCCATCAATAGTTAGAGTAGCGGACGCTAGTGTTTTCACTTACCCGCGTCGCGTGAAACCGGAACCTAAAATCGAACCTCTCTTTTTTCGTCCTTAGTCCCTTGAACATGGTTGCAGGTTTGTTTGCCTAGACGCTGCTCGTTCAGACGTCACTAATGAATGTGGTAAGAGGGGAACAAGCGTCTGCTGGCAGTTTATGACGGAACAACGTCATAGTTTTCACGAAACGCGCGATGCCGCCATATCCTCAATAGGTCCTCAACGAGCAAAATCTCACTAAAGTGCAACACAAGCTTCTCCTTTGAGATCACTCGCTTTGTGTCAGGTGTCGAGGTCTGGAGTGCTTCAAGTCAAACGGATGGGTCATGCCATGATGTGAAAACGGACGAATGAAAGCGGGACGATCTAGCCAATCGACACTGAGCTTAGGGGGGAACCTGTCGGCATGCATGCCGAAGCTAAGACGTGACTGTGGATTTCCCGCCAACATGCCCCTGCCTGAGCAGCAATCCACGTGGCATGTGGAGTGAGCTCTGGCAAAAAACGTGAAGGCCGAGGAAGGCGCTTCGAGCACTTATGATTCAGTACAAGCAATTTTCTAATAAAAGACGCGTCAGTCCTACTACCTTGGTTTAACAAGTAAAGAAATCCATAACCCATCCCGATTCTTTAAGGATGATCAAACAATTTGTGAATTTTGAACAACAATTACAACGAATAATATGTTATCGTCTGAATTTATCTCCGTATCAGTTACCAATTGCATCATGACCGAAATTTGCAAGGTACTCTATTCAATCTCTTTGGAATGTATGTGGTGTGGAACATCTGTGCCAGTTCTCAGTGCCATTGTGTATAACAGGTCAATGTGTGTAACTCAACTGTCACATCTCTGAAGCATGTGCGAATTTCGCCAAACGACCAGATTGAACCCACCACAACAACATCCTTCGCATAGAAGAGGGGCGTGTTCGCAGAGTGTGTCGGCGATCGTAATTCTATCAGGCCATGATGCCAACGAAGCGGGAAGGAAAGCAAACACGCTGGTCACTGCCTCGCGAGACCTGAGCCGTTCGATGAAGGGCTAATCGGAAGTCTTTCCGCAATTAGCGTTTGACATCTTGGTTCACATGGTCGACCCTCACCATATTTCGGCCAATAGGTGAGGCCAAGAAGGGCGATCCCCCTTCTCTGTTCAGTTTCTGGAAACTCCAATGTCCCTGCCGCTGATCGTTAGGGTTTCATCCGCTTTCCCGCTTTCACAGTGCAAGATCGGCCAGCTTGTTCCTTCTCTTCCTTCTGGTAACCCGCAAACATCCAGTCTCCCGGCAGGTTTGTTTTTCGTAACAGCCAGTCCGCAACCCTTCCTAATCCTATCTTGAACTCCGCTTAGTCTTGGTGACGAGTGCACCCTAGTCTGTGCCAACTCTTCAACTGCCTGGACGATGTCAGAAAAGGAACCTGCCGAAGGGGCAGGAAAAGAAGGGTCGTCTGAGGATGACGATGTTGTGGAAGTGCCGCAAGCAGGGAATGCAGAAGTGACACCGCTCGGCACGGCGGATGTCGCGGAGCCCAGTGCTCACGTGGAAAATGTCTCCGCCGCGTGCGAGGCGCCTGATGCGGAACCAGGTGGTGAATCTCCAAAGGATTCGACAGCAGAGACAGGACGCGAAGTTGCGGCGAAGGAGGACACAGAAGGAGGGAGTGCGAGCCGAGAGGGAGCAGGCGAGGGAGCAGGCGGCGGAGCAGCGGATCCGGAAGGTGGAGCAGAGTCGGAGAGAGTGCAAGCTGGTGAGGTTCCGAAGGATTTCAAAACAGAGGCAGCGGGAGACGGTGCGACGAAGGAGGACGCAGAAACAGCAACGGCGAGCCGAGAGGGAGCGGATGGCGTAGACGCAGAGGGAGCTGAAGCGGATTCGAAGGCACAGACAGCAGGTGACGATGCGACGAAGGAGGACGCAGGAACAGCGACAGCGAACCCAGAGGTACCGACAGATGCAGGAGCAGAGGGAGCCGATGTGAGTGCCAAGGCACCGGCGGCAGATGACGGTGCGACGAATGAGGACGCAGAGAAAGCGATGGCGAAACCAGAAGTACCGGTCGATGGAGAAGCAGAGGGAATTGAGGCGGATATCAAGGCACCGGCAGCAGATGACGGTGCGACGAAAGAGGACACAGAACCAGCAACTGAGTTGTCGAAAGGAACAAGGAAGGGAGGAGCAGACCCGGAAAGCGGGGCAGAGGCTGAGAAGGCGCAAGCTGCGGCGGCAGATAAAGAACAAACAGAGGCAGATGCGACGGAAACGATGCAGCCCAGTGAGGTGGAAAAGAAGACGGCGAATGCGGACCCGCCTTCCGCCGTTGCGCAGGCGGATCCTGCTGTTGCTCTCGCCACTGCCCCCGAAGTCGTTCCCGCTGTCACTTCCGCCGCTGCTCCCGCTGCTGCTCCCGCTGCTGATCCTGCGGCACCACTCGCTTCCCCGGCGGAAGCTGTTCCGCCAGCAACCCCTGCCCCTCCTGCGGAAGCGGGGGCTGCTCCCTCCGCCACCCCCGTTGCTCCGCCAGCTCCCGGTGCGCCTCAGCAGGCACCACCATCTGCTCCCGCCGTTGCCGCCTCTTACGCAACGATAGACGCGGAGATCAAAGCGGTGCGGGACATGCCGAATCCTTTGGGCCCGGGACCTTCCGGAAGCGCATCCGCACCAACGCCCGCAACCGACGCTGCGCAAGCATCTCCTGCGCCGCCAGCAGCGGCGAACGCAGCAGCGGCAGGCGCAGCGGCAGCAGCGCCAGCATCCGCGGCAGGGGGACAGGCAGCGCCAGCATCCGCGGCAGGGGGACAGGCAGCGCCAGCAATTGAAACAATAGAGCTGGACGACGACGACGAGGACGACGAAACGGACAACAACGCGCTGAACGCGATCCTCTCCGTGCCACCGAAAGAGCTCGAGACAGCGGTGGAGAAGCTCCTATACATCCACATGAGGCCGCGCCTGCCGGGCGCGGAGGACGACGATCAGGTCGCGCCGCACACGATGGCGGCGCTCGAGACGGGCGTGAAGTGGGTGCTGAAGCGGCAGGGCTCGGCGGTGCCCGCGGAGCAGTGCGTGCGGCTGGCGAAGGCGCTGCTGCTGGACTCGCAGCACGGGAAGCGCGGGCGCCCGCGCAAGTACTTCGCGGAGGCGGAGGTGAACGTGGCGCTCGCCGCCGTGAGCGCGTGGCTGGAGAGGCGCAGGCAGCAGGAGGCAGGGGAAGGGGCAGGGGCAGGGGGAGCAGGAGGAGGGGCAAAACCAGGCGACGCAGCAGTTGCTGCGAAGGCGGCAGCAGCAGCGACTGCAGGAGCTGCAGGGGGGGCGGGTTTCCCTGGGCCGGCAATGCAGCTGCTGGCGCAGCAGTATCAGCAGGTGCCGCAGCAGCAGCAAGCGAGCTGGTTGCGGCCTCCTGTTGCTGCAGCAGGCGGACTTCCGCCAGCAACGCAGCTGGCGCAGCAGCAGGGGCATGGGCAGCAGCAGCAGCAGCAGCAGGCGAATCTACTGACCATGCCGTCCCTAAACCCGCGGTTAGATCGCTCAGTGGAACTGCCTGGTTACTACCCCAGCCGTGTTCCCCCAGGCCTGACGTTCAACTTACGCCCCGGCGCCATACTCGCCGGCACCGTACCTCGCACCGTACCTGCCGGCTCCGCACCTGCCGGCACCATACCTCGCACCGTACCTGCCGGCACCGCACCTCCCACCATGTTTGCCAGCACCATATCTGCTACCACAGTTGCGGCGTCGCCTGCAGGGAATCAGACGGACGGGGTGGGTCTGTGGCAGGGCAGAACACGGTTGGGAGGGCTGGGTTCTAAGGTGCGGCAGGGGAGGCAAGCGTGGGAGGGGTTTGGGGGGCTGAATTCAGTGCCCTCACAGCAAAGTGAAGAGGCTGGCAGGAGGCTTGTGATGCCGGCGGGAGAAGCACAGCGGGTGACACAGGGGCGAGAGCAGGGAGTACAGGGGGGAACGCAAGGGCGAACAGAGGGGGTAACTCAGGCGCGCGGGCAGGGATTAGCGAACGCACCACCGGTGAGGGAGTATGTTTTGGGGCTGAAGGCGCCTGATAGGAGCACGCAGAGGCCGGGAGCAGGGCTGGTGGAAGTGCCTGTAGGGGGGGCTGCCCCGGGAGCGATTCCGGGGTCGGAGCGGGGAGCGAGGCGAGGAGAACGGCAACCTGCTAGCGCTCTGCAGCAGCAGCTGCAGCACCATCATCAGCAGCATCAACAGCGGCGGCAGGAGCAGCAGCAGCAGCAGCAGCAGCAGCAGCAGCAGCAGCAGCAGCAGCAGCAGCAGCAGCAGCAGCAGCAGCAGCAGCAGCAGCAGCAGCAGCAGCAGCAGCAGCAGCAGCAGCAGCAGCAGCAGCGGGTGCAGCAGCGGGTGCAGCAGCGGGTGCAGCAGCGGGTGCAGCAGCAGGCACAGAAGCAGCAGGAGAAGCCGCCAGAGGTGCAGCCGCCAACAGAAAATCTCCCAGCGCCAGGGCTGGGCAAGGACGTATGCGTGCATAAGTACTACCTGCCGGGAATAGAGGGCAGCGGAGAGGCGGGCAGGCAGAAGCAGGAGCGCGAGCACGCCACCTTGCTGGCGTTTCTCCACTGGCTCTACCCCCACCTGTGCGGGATATGCAAGGCGGTGGTGCAGCATGGGCCGTTTGTGGAGGGCGCGCAGGGGCGGTTTGGGGGGTACGAGGTGGGGGATGTGGCCAAGGGGAAGGAGCGCGGGGTGCTGGTGCGCGCGCCCAGCAACTGGCGGAACGTGGGGGACTCCTCATGGGCCACGGAGATGAACCAGGTGAGTGGAGTGGGGATGGTGGCGTGTCGGTTGGGTTTGAGTGTGCTCGGAGAGGTACCTGTCAAGTCTCCTTAGCAACTGGCGGAACGTGGGGGACTCCTCGTGGGCCACGGACCTGAACCATGTGCGTGGAGTGGGCAATGGCACCTCTCCACTGGCCCTTCTTTTCCCATCCCGCTCCCTCGTCACGCTCATTTCCACCTCCCCTTCCTTCCTCTCTTTCCCTGACCACCACCACCTGTGCGAGCAGCAAGGGCCAAAGAAGCGGCGGCTGGTGTTTGTGGGCTGGCAGGCGTTTGCACAGACAGAGCGCGGTGCAGTGGACGTGGGCATTCACATCGAAGACACGGACGCCATCAGGTGCGCGCGCAGGGGGCTGGCTGTGTGTGGGTTTTGACACCACAAGGTGATGGATGGGAGCGGGGGGCAGTGGACGTGGGCATTCATATCGAAGACACAAACACCATCAGGTGCATGCGCAGGGGATGGAGGGAGTGGGAAGAGAAGGTCATCTCATGGGCACCACCAGCACCAACACGGCCTTTTGGCCCTTCCCTTCTGCTCTTTATTTCCACCCATTCCTCCCTCTCTGCGCCCTCATTCCGTCCCGTTTGCCGCCTCATTCTACCTGTTTCGCCTCTTTCCATCCGCCCATCAGGTCTCTCCTCGCCAAGAAGCGCCGCCTGCAGCAGTTTGCCCGAAACCGAGTCTCTGACATCCAAACCTTAAAAGGCAGGCTCTCCGAAGCTCGCGTGCAGGTTCGGTCGCTCAAGGACCAGGTTCGGGATCTCCAAAGCCAGCTGAAGGCTGCCAAGGAGAAGGAGAAAGCACGGGGGCGTGGCCGAGGGGAGAGATCAGCAGAGGACGAGCAGAAGCAGCTGCAGCGGCGGCTCAAGAAGCTCAAAGCCCGGGCCGGTAACCGTCCAATCACCGCTGATGATGTGGCGATGCTGGATCTGATGTCAGACGACGACGACGATGACGAGGACGAGGATGCGGAGGGTGACGGGGCGGCAGCAGGGGCAGAGGGAGCAGCAGCAGAGGGGGTGCGGGAGGAGGCAGCAGATGCGGCGATAGGAGTGGAGTTGTGGATTCAGGAGTTGGATGAGCCAGATGATGAGATGGTGAATGAATTGCTGGAAGACATTGAAGTCATGCCCAATGTGGTTATCCCTAGTGGGACCAGTACACCCGGTGTGTTTGGGGAGTCACCGCAACTACCCGCTGTTGATGTCCCAGCGCCGTCCCCTGCCGCGTTCTCGCCTGCTAACGCGTCCCCCTTTCAGATTCCTCAAACTCCTAATGCTGCTGCTCTCGCTGCTGCGGCGGCTGCTGCTGCCGGTTCTCCTGCTGGTGCGGGAGCTGCGGCGTCCCCAGCAGCAGGCAGGACCATCTCGCCTCTCCTGCAGCAGCTGCTGCAGCGCTCCTCCCGCCCCATTGCCCCCAGAACCACCAAACCCCAGCGCTCTTCTGCCGCCCCCGCACCTCCAACCTCTCTCAACCGCGCTCCCATCCTCCCCACTGTCCCCCGCCACGCCTCCAACTCGTTCCTGCTTGCAGCAGCATCAGGACAGATCCCCACCCCTGCCGCACCTCCCGCTCCGTCCCCTGGAAACCCTCCCCGCACCCCTGGCTCTGCCGCCGCTGCTCCTCCCCGTGAGCGTTCCGGGGGGCCGTCCCTGGGCGTGTGGGATAGGATCCAGCTGAGGCGGAAGAGGGCAAGGGAGGGGCTGACAGGGGACCCGGAGGAGCCGGGGGCACAGCAGAGAGACGGGAGGGACGGGAGAGCGGGACGAGAGGGGCTGCAGCAGCAGCAGGAGGCGGGCGGGCGGGAGGGCATGCTCACTCGCCCTTCCCTGGGGTCAGGCCGGCCGCTGGCTGGGTTACGGAAGCGGAGGCGGGAGGGGCAGGTTGACCCGGTGTTTGGATCCGCTGGGCTGCGACCGCGCGGGCGCGAGCGCGACATTCTGTTCTGGTTCCAGTCCACTGAGCGGCGCAAGATGAACCGGTTCCAGTCACGGCTGGAGAAACGCCTGCACAAGGTGAACCTGCAGCGGAGGGCGTGGCGGCGAGGCGAGGAGGGAGGGGTGGAGGAGGAGGGTGGTGGGGAGGGGCAGGATGGGGAGGAGGGGGAGGATGGGGAGGAGGGCACGGATGGGGGTGGGGATGAGGAGGGAGGGGAGGGGGATGTTGTGGAGGTGGGAGGGGGTGCGGGGGGAGGTGGTGGAGAGGGATATGTGACTCTGTTGTCTACTGACGACGAGGGCAATGAGGGGGAAGATGATGGTGGTGGGGAGTGAGCAGCAGCGGGTGGTGGTATGTGATTGCATTGGGATTAGGTTCTAACTTGTATGCACGAGTCAGTGCATATGTACCCACTGATAGTAAGAGAGCTACCGTATACTCCCGGACAAAACACCCCCCCATAATTGTACACCCCCGGGTAGCTTGTGCGGGGTGGGTGTTATGGGGAGCCTCGTTTCTACTATACCCCCCTTTTTGCCTGATTCTCTATAAGACCCGGGGGGGTGTTATGGGCGGCAAAAATACTGAATTTGCTTTCATTGCATACAGGGTACTTTACAGGTACTACAGAAATTGAGAAAGCTTGCTTTCTGATTATTGCAAGGCAACGTGCTTCATTTTAATTGGGTAATTACAACATTCTCGTCCAACTTACATATTACATAAACATCAACTAGGGGTGGGCGGGGGGGAAGCAGAACTGAAAAGTTCCGAAATGAAGACGTGGGTGGAGGCCAAATGGCCTCCAACCCTCGTTATGTACTCGGGAAGAGGCATTCGCAGTTGCCTTGCTTCACTACAGTCAGCTGCGCTTTCACAATCTTTATTTTTAGAAAGTGTTTCACACTTTCAAAAAATGTCATATTGAGAAAGCTTGCTTTCTGATTATTGCAAGGCAACGTGCTTCATTTTAATTGGGCCTTCTGAGACATGTGCGTGCGTGGGCTAAGCGTAGATCCCGAAGCCGGTTGATGGCGATGTCCAGTGATATCAGTTGTTGGTGCAGGTCGTTGCATTCCCTGTCGACGTGGTTATGCGAGTTGCTCCCTCCTTTGGTAGATGTATGTGCCCTTCGTTGTTGGTGGAGAGGGGGCCCGTGGTTTAGAATGATTGTTATGCTGGCATGCGCGGTGGGGAAGATGGTTGTTGAAGACGGCCCATGTGTCAGTGATGAAGCTCCCAGTGTTGCGCGTAGACTGGTGCCGCGATTTTGATGTTGTTTGGTCGATGACGCGGCGTAGGGTCTTGGACTAGTGACGTGTTATAAAAAATCAATGCTTTAGTTTGAAACTTTCATATTTGCGATTGGCCCCGAGTACGAGATCTTTAGCTAGAGGAACTAAGGGGGGCTCAGAATAAGGTGTGTCCGTAGGGAAGTGGCTGATATTGAAATATGATGCTTGCGGGACTGGTGCGGTATGCATCATTTGTATCATGTTGAGATCCGAAAGGGTGTGGGTTTGTAAGAAAAATGTCGCATAACAAAACCTCCAGCCATGCGTTACTGGCCCATCAGTTTTTCGCCTTTTGGCATGTCTGGTGCTTGTCTCTTGGCCCATCGGTTGCTCGTCTCTTGACCTATCGGTTGCTCGTCTCATGACCTATCAGTTGCTCGTCTCGTGGCACATCAGTTGCTCATCTCGTCGCCCATCAGCTACTCATCTCGTGGGCTATTAGTTGCTTGTCCATTAACCCATCAATTGCTACTCCCTTGGCCCATCGGTTGCTCGTCTCGTGGCCCATCGGTTGCTTGTCTCGTGGCCCATCGGTTGCTCGTCTCGTGGCCCATCGGTTGCTCGTCTCTTGGCCTATCGATTGCGCGCCTCTTGGCGCATAGGTTGCTCGTATCGTGGCCCATCGGCTGTTCGTCTCGTGCCCTTCGGTTGCTGGCCCGTTGGCCTATCGGTGGGCCATCGGCCGCTCATCTCGTGGCCCATCGGTTGCTCGTCTCGTGGCCCATCGGTTGCTCGTATCGTGGGCCATCGGTTGCTCGTCTCATGGCCCATCGGTTGCTCGTCTCGTGGCCCATCGGTTGCTCGACTCCTGGCCCATCGGTTGCTCGTCTCATGGCCCATCGGTTGCTCCTCTCTATCCTGGACCGTATATGATGGTTGCCCAAGAAAAACGACAAGAGGTGCATTGGCTGCCCTGCCACACCATGTTACCGATGTCTCGTAGCTCCAGTCAACAATTATATTGTCGAAGCGTAACGAGTAACGGTAGTGGCAGGTAAATTACCTTGACATTCGGTACATGTTTTACTTTCCCCTCTATTGTTCGGAAGGTGTGACGAAACAAGTCATCGTACTAGTGAATAATGGTTGCATGACACTCTCTCCTTCCTCGTTGTGCAGTGTAGGTGAGTGATAAAGTAGGATCCCATGGATGTCCTTACTACCGGTACGGTAGTTGCACTCTACCAACCTTACCAAAGTCAGTCAACTAATTGTTTGTGGCTTCGACATCCGATTAGGACCAAAATTGCTCCATTTTTTTTTCACTATAATCATATTGTACACATAATGGCCAATGATACTACGAATCCACATACACAATAATTATGTAACCCACATACATAATTCTTCATATTGCGAGTCCGCAAATCCTCCCTCCCTAAGAAGGAGGCCCTTTGGCCAGCATACTTAGAACCTGTCCACACCCCTCTTGGAAGTGTTTTTTTTTTTTTTTTTTTTTTTTGCCAAATATCGAAGTTCACGGACCTCGGTCCCCTTCCCCCCCCTGGGGGCGGCTCTCAGGCCAACTTGGGGACCCCCGGTCCCCTTCCCCCCCTGGGGGCGGCTCTCAGGCCAACTGTGGGGACCCTCGGTCCCTTCCCCCCTTGGGGGCGGCTCTCAGGCCAACTGTGGGGACCCTCGGTCCCTTCCCCCCCTGGGGGCGGCTCTCAGGCCAACTTTGGGGACCCTCGGTCCCTTCCCCCCCTGGGGGCGGCTCTCAGGCCAACTGTGGGGACCCTCGGTCCCTTCCCCCCTTGGGGGCGGCTCTCAGGCCAACTATGGGGACCCTCGGTCCCTTCCCCCCCTGGGGGCGGCTCTCAGGCCAACTTGCGGACCCTCGGTCCCTTCCCCCCTAGGGGCGGCCCGGCCCCTCCTTTCGATGTGCGTGCAGTTGATCCCGTCGTCATTGCAATTTTTTTTTTTCTTTTTTTCCGCGCGACTTCAATCAACGGCTTTCCATCTTGTGCCGGTTTTTCTGCCATCAAGAGAGTCAAGGGGGTATCGAGATTTATAGGCAATGAGAGTAAAAATTAGAACTGGAAGAAGAAGACGAAGAAAGAAAGGAAAAATAAATGAAAAGAAGTTGCAACGATTTATATGCAACAGCGAAATAATTGGTGAGGTGACATGGGGTGCTCCACTGGGCCAGTCAAACGCCTTAGGCGCGGCAGTAGCAGTTTCTTGACTGCCGCGCCACTGGCCATTTCGTCCATGGCGATTTCGCCACTGGTGCAAATGGCCATTTCGCCACAGACGCGCGCCACTGGCGCAAGTGGCGATTTCGCCACACCCTCGCGCCAGTGGCGCAAGTGGCGATTTTGCCACACGCGCGCGCCAGTGGCCCACGTGGCGATTTCGCCACACACGCGCGCCAGTGGCGCAAGTGGCGATTTCGCCAGACACGCGCGCCACTGGCGCAAGTGACGATTTCGTCACTAGCGCACGCCACTGGCGCACGTGGCGATTTCGTCACTGATGCGCCAGTGGCCGTTGCTTCATGCGCACTTCTTTCTCAGTTGCGCGTACGCCAAGTGCATCGCGGGCGCAATGCTGTACCCTCCGCAGTTGACGCACGCAGTAGCTAATGTATAACTACGCTGCTGCAGCACTTGTCCTAGCGTTGCCGCTGTGCTTCTAGAGTGAGAATTAAGAAAATTTGAGAACGGAAGTGGTTGGACGAGAATGAAGCAGAACTGAAAAGTTCCGAAATGAAGACGTGGGTGGAGGCCAAATGGCCTCCAACCCTCGTTATGTACTCGGGAAGAGGCATTCGCAGTTGCCTTGCTTCACTACAGTCAGCTGCGCTTTCACAATCTTTATTTTTAGAAAGTGTTTCACACTTTCAAAAAATGTCATGTAATGTGCCAGCATATAGTCATCGACAATGTCACCTAGACTGCAGAAACATCACCACAAGAGCACCTCACATCCACAATTTCACCTAACAAAACTCTACACAAAGTGCCTTCTACTCAGAATCGTCTCCTGCATGCCATTCTTCACAGTCTTCCCCGTCAAAGCGGCCAGGGCGCCACCATTTGTCATCGCTGGGCTCTTCTGCCTCCCCGCCTTCCTCAAGCACGCCCCCCTCCTCCTCTGCCGCCGCCGCTTCCGCATCCTCCTCAGCGGCGTCAGCCTCCTCTGCCGCCGCCTGCAGCTCCTCGGCCGGCATGGGGACTTCGACGTAGAAGGGGTTGACGACGAGCTCGTCGTCAACCAGGTCGTTGACGTCGTCAAGGACTTCCACCTCACCCTTGTCCCGCATGTGGGCAAGGATGAGGTGGTCCTCGCTGCCATCGATGGGGGTGGAGATCCCACACGTGACGAACGCCTTCTTCACGAGCTCCTGTGGGATTGCTTCCCTGGACTCATCGATCCAGCGGAGCACCAACTCCGCTGGCGGCTTCTTGAGATTGCCTGAGGGACGGGGAAGGGTAGAGAAGGACAAATGTGAATTTCCAGAGCGTAAGCCGACATTGATTCAAAGTTACACATGCGGATGTCATGGTTCAACTCACCGGACTTGGTGATGGTGTTGATGCCCTCTTCTTCGAACCAGCCACTGTAGCGATGACGCACACCGCACTTGAACGCGCGGTTGATTGACACATCCAGAGGCTGCACTAGCAGAGTGCAGCCCCCTGGGATGACAGCCCGTGACAGCCGAAACATCCTCATGGTCTGCCCGACCGCCTCAGTCAAGTGGCCGCGGTAGGAGTCGAGCACAACCAAGGCCTCCCGGCGGCGTCCAATTGATTCACGCAAGGGCTTCAGAAACGGCACCATCACCTGGGTGATCCACTCCTGCACAAGTGATTCGTTCATCCACCCTTTGTCTTGTGCACGGACCACCACACCTGCCAAAGAATACCGGTACGTTAGGGTCAAATTCGGTTGCGACTGTTGACAGGCTATAGTAGTGACATCATCCTAAACGTGCTACGCTTACCGGCAGGGATGGGCACCTTCGGTATGGACTTGCGCTTGAACACCACGTACGCCGGCAGCTTGAGCCCGCTCGCAGTTACTGCGAGCATGACAGTAACACGCTCCTTCTCATAGCCCGCACTCCGTACGTGAACCGTCCGCGCTCCCTTCATTTCGAGCGTGCGCTCCGTCGGCATCTCCAGGAAAAGCGGGGTTTGGTCCGCGTTCAAGATGAGGTCAAGCGGGTAGTCGTGCAGAGAGCGCAATCTGCAAGCAAAGCCACGAGACACATTAGCTCAGCACTGAGATGGCGATCAAGGAGCACGACGGCGCAACACTTACCCGCTGCCAACTTCTGTCCCATCTTCGTCTTCACCCGCCTCGCCAAATGCCAGCGCGCGCGGAAACGAGTTGCCCAGCGGAACGATGCGCGCCAGTTCACCCCGGGCATCCGGTGCTTCATGTACTTGGCGCTCCACTTCTGGAGCATGCTGACCGAAACGGCGAGCCCCCTCTCCCTGTGCTTGAGGAACTGGCGGTAGACCGCCCTTTCCATGAAAGGAAACTTGGACTTGCGGCCAGCTCCCATGAGGCGACGACGGCAGCTAGAAGAGACCTCCAGCCGCTCCCTCATCTTCTTCCAATCGCGGATCTGGCATGGCTGCACCTTCGCGAGCTTCGCCAGGGCGCGATTCGACAGGTCGGGCTGCGAGTCCTACATCTTCAACCAGTGGAGCTTCTCTTTTGCGGTGATTCCCTTGCGCTGGCGTTTCATCATGCGATGGCGAGGGGATGGCGGGTCAGCATCGGCGTTGCGCTTCTGCTCCCTGCGGGCGGTTCTGCTCCGGGAACGTGGGGACAACCACTCGAGGAAGGGTAGGGCGAGGACGGTCCAAGCTACTGCTCGGTTCATCCCTGGTAGAAGCACTACGGGATCATCTGGCAGAGGAAAGATCGGGCGAGGAGACGTCCGTGCGCGTGCAGAAGCGCTAGTCTGATTGGTGGAAATAGGCCGCTGCCGCCTATCTACCGTACTGCTAGAATCTGGAGATGAAGCCATGCTTGGGAACTAAGGCAGGTCGATGTCACTCGCCATGGGAGAAATGACTTTTAAAGACGATACCCTCGTGCACAGGAAGGAGATGCTCTCACAGCCTGCCGAGCATTTGTTAAAGACGTGCACTGGAACCGCTTGACGAAGAGAAGAGCAAGCTTGGGTGAGGAAGCTTGGACGTGACTACCGTACACGGGAGTCAAGGGGTCACAGGTATAGTGACAACACAGCATCGTGCGCGATTCCGGCCTCGTACTGCATGAACCCAAGCTGCTCGAGGTTGGCAGTGATGTCAACCAATCAGGTGGCACAGTGGGCCCTCTGGAATTTGCCATGTGGCAGATTCCAGTGGAGGATGACGTTATCCTCGTAGACGCGGTTTGGCGACCCTGATAAAAATAATAATAATAAGGCCAGACCCCTGTTTTTGTTTCCATTCATTTTTGCTTATAAAAAAATGTGCAATATAATAAGACCCAGGTATTATGTATTTTTTTCCTATGAGGAGACCCCCCCCATTTTTTCCCTGTATTTTTAGCTATACCCTAGGGTGTTATGTCCGGGAGAATACGGTACGTACATGGCCATGTGGGAAGGGAAGGGGGGGGTGGGAAGAAGGGTGAGGGGGAGCAGGTGTGGTTTCTGTGAAGTGCAGAAGCGATTGTTGCACATGCTCCTAGAGTGTGGTTGATTTTTCTGGTGTTGATTTTTTATGGTTACGGTAATCTTATATTGATCAGCTAATCGAGTGCAGGAAGTTCAGTTATCCAGAGAGTCACCTTGCGTGAATGGACAACTCTGCGCGTAACGGGAGCCACTCAAAGCGGATTCCGCTTCACCCCGACCCTGAACCCTAATTCGCAACTCGCATAAACCCCTCCAACTCTCACACCATCCCCTGAACTTCCCCACCTCGAGAAAAATCAACTCCAATTCCTTAGTCGGCGCGAATAGCATCCAGAGTCACTTCAGACGGACTGTATTAAATCTTCTTTCACGAGGCGGAGCACTTGGCGCGGGGTAGAACAGGCGGATCGTTCCAAGGAGCGCGGGTTTGAGCACAGCGCGCCGATGTCAGGCAGGAGAGGGGGCCCGGGTGGCAGGGGTGGTGGGCGGAGCGGGCAAAGGGGGAGTTGGGGCGGAGATGGTGAGCGCGCGCAAGGGGGAGGTTGGGGCGGGGCTTTCCAGAGAGCGGCGGAAAAAAGTGCTTCCGGCGGAGATTCCGGCGGGGCTTTCCGGGGAGGGAGGGGTGGAAGGGCAGCGGTGGGGGGATTTGCGGGGAGGCAGCGGGGGAGGGGCGCGGGGAGAGGATTCTCAGCGGTCCGCCAAAACGGGGGAAGAACGGGCGGTGCAGCGTGGGGTGGGCAGAAGGGGCAGGGGCAGAAGCTACTAGGCTCCGCGCACGATGAGCGGGAAAATGGCGGACACCAGGAGAGCTGGAGAGAGGTCAAAGTTCCAGGGTACGCGGGGGACGGGGGACGCAGCGAGGCGGAAGGGGGAACGGCGGAGCAGAAGGTCGCGGAGGCGGAGGGGGGTATGGGCGTTGTGTTTTCGTCGGGGAAATTCGCGGATCTTGGGCTTTGCGAGACACTCGCGACGCACATTGAAGGTAACTCCCTGCAATGGCAGATAATCTCTGCGCCTTTCAAACCCTGCGCCAGGTAAAACCTTTCCGCCCTCCCTAAACCTCGCCAATCCCCTCTGCCCTTCCCTCCGCCCACTCCGTTACCCTTCCCTCTACCCCCCTGGCAGAGAAGCTGGGGTTCGCAGCGCCAACGCACGTGCAGCAGGCCGCCATCCCGCACGTCCTCGCTGGCAGAGACCTGTGAGTCCCCCCTGTCCTCCCTGCCTTCTCGCCCTCCCTGTCCTCACTGCCCTCCCTACCTTCCTTTCCCTCCCTCATCGCTTTCCCACCCTCTTTGCACCTGCTGGACCTGTTGCTTTTGCTGCTGCTGCCTCACACGCTTCCCCCTCCCCCTTTTCCTCCCCTCCCACACCCTCGCAGGCTCATTCGAGCGGACACGGGGTCGGGCAAGACGCTGCTGTATCTGGCGCCCATTCTGTATCGGCTGCTATCGCTGCTGCTGCCTCACATGCTTCTCCCTCTCTCCCTGCCTCCCCTCCCACACCCTCGCAGGCTCATTCGAGCGGACACAGGGTCGGGCAAGACGCTGCTATATCTAGCGCCCATTCTGCACGCTCTGCAGGCCTGCAGGCAGCGCGTGGACCGCAAGCACGGCACGTATGGTGAGTGCTACAGAACACGTATGGTGGGTCCTGTCCCGTATGATATGATGGGTCTTTTTATCAGGCAATATGTGCCCATTCTGGCAGCCCTGCACGCCCTGCAGACCTGCAGGCAGCGCGTGGACCGCAAGCACGGCACTTATGGAGAGTGTTTCCTCATTGGGTAAGGCTTGCCGCATATGGTAAATCTTACCAACCAGCTGAGCTGGCGATTTTGTGTGGATTGAGTTATGAAACGTCTCAAAACCCTCCCATTTTCCTTCTTGCCTCACCCCGGCACTGCAGCCGTCATCTTGGCCCCAACACGAGAGCTCTGCGTGCAAATAGAGGAGGTGGCGCAGCAGCTGTGCCGGCGATTCGTGTGGATCGTGCCGGGGCGGTGCATTGGAGGGGAGAGCCGCGGGAAGGAGAAGGCGCGCCTGCGCAAGGGGCTGGCCATTGTGATCGCGACACCTGGCAGGCTGCTGGACCATCTGCGCAACACCTGCTCGTTCGGGCTCGCTCGCCTGCGATGGCTTGTTCTGGACGAGGCTGACAGGTGAGGGCGGAAATACATATAAGTGTGGATGCGAGCTAAAGAGGAAAGAGATACAGGCTGATTCTGGGCTATGTGCTCATTGGGCTTTTGAGTCGACTCAGAAGGTAGCTCGTTTGCGTGCGGTGGCTCGTGCTGGATGAGGCTGACAGGTGTGGGATTGCTGGTGGTGCACTTGGTGCCGGAGGTGGTGCTTGTCAGCCTGGGGTCTGGGCGCGACATTAAGGAGATTCTAACCTCTCACCACCCCTCTCCACCAATTCCCCTGCCTATCCCACAGGTAGCTGGACCTGGGATTCGAGCGAGATGTTAATGGAATCCAAACCATTCACCATCCCTCTCCACCCCTCTCCCCACTCACCAGGCTGCTGGATTTGGGCTTTGAGCGGGACATAAAGGAAATCATATCTCTGCTGCGAGAGAGGCTCAGCCACGACGGTCTGATACAGGGAGGGGGTGCTCAGGGTGCTTCCAGGAAGCTTCAGACTATGCTGCTGTCCGCCACGCTTGGCCCGCGGGTTGAGCAGCTGGCTGACGTCAGCCTGGTGTCACCGGTGGCTGTGAGCGTGACAGGTGGCAGTGTGCGAGTGGAGGAGAGGGTTTCTGGGCGGCCGGTGACGAGGGTTGGGGGTGGCGTGGGACAGAGAGAGGAGAAAGGGGTTGGGATGGGTGAGAGAGGATTGGAGGAGCTGGGAGGGGTGGAGAGAGGGGAAGAGGAGGAGGAAGAGGCGGAAGAGGAAGTGGAGGAGGAGGAACAGGAGGAGGAAGACGAGGAAGAAGTGGAGGAGGAGGAGGAGGAGGAGGAGGAGGAGGAGGAGGAGGAGGAGGAGGAGGAGGAGGAGGAGGAAGAGGAGGAGGAAGAGGAGGAAGCAAAGGAAGAGGAGGAGGAGCAGGAAGCGGAGGAGGGGGAGGTGGAGGAAGATGAGGATGAGGAGGAAGATGAGGATGAGGAGGAGGAGTTGGAGGAGGGAGAGGAGGTGGGGGAGGAGAACGACGAGGACGACGACGACGACCTGCCTCTCTTCATGCAGGCCCTCCGTGCCGTTAAGAAGGCGGGGCGGGCGGAGCGCAAGGAGAAGAAAGAGGAGAGGAAGGAGGAGTGGAAGGAGGAGAGGAAGGAGGAGAGAAGAGAGCAGAAGGAACAGGAGGAGGAGAAGGGCAAGAGGTCGGGAGGTGAAGATGGGGCATTGGAGAGTGGTGGCAGTAAAGGCGGGGTGGGGAAGACGGAGAGCAGGAAAGGGGGAGCAGCAGGCATGGCGGTGGCACAAGCAGCCACGCAGGGGGCTTTGCAGGGGGGGTCAAGTGAGGGTGTGGGAGAGGAAGGGAGGGGGGAGGAAGAGAGGGGAAGAGTGGAGGATAGTGGAAGAGAGGAGGAGAGGGGAGGAGGGCATGGAAGGGTGGAGGAGAGGCGGGAGGGGGGGGTGTTGCAGGAGGGGCCGAGTGGCGGAGGGTCGTTTGTGTTCCCGGAGCAGCTCAAGCAGTTTGTGCTCACTGGTAAGTGCTCACAGGTAAGTGCTCACAGGTAAGTGCTCACAGGTAAGTGCTCACAGGTAAGTGCTCACAGGTAAGTGCTCACAGGTAAGTGCTCACAGGTAAGTGCTCACAGGTAAGTGCTCACAGGTAAGTGCTCACAGGTAAGTGCTCACAGGTAAGTGCTCACAGGTAAGTGCTCACAGGTAAGTGCTCACAGGTAAGTGGCAATCGACTTTTGAGTCGACTCAAAAGTCACCTCGATTGGGCTCACCAGGTGCGTGTACCTAAATGCAGGCACTGCAAATCAGGTGGATGTCTTGGTTAGGCTCGAGTACTAAGCTGACAGCGCACAGGCACGTGTAACTTCACAGCAGCTTGCTGGTTTTGACCTTCTCTGCTGGCTCTTGCTCTTCATTGGTGAGATCCTCTTGCTCCTGCAGTATTCACTCCTGCATCCCCTCTTCCCCCCCCATTTCTCCCTCAAACTAACTTCCTCGCTCCCTTTCCAAACCTCTTTTACCTTCCGCCTCATTTTTTCCCTCCCACCCCCCCCTGTCACCAGTCCCGTGCCGCTGTCGTCTCATCACGCTCATCGCTCTGCTGCGCTCCAAGCTTGCCACGTCAGCATCATCCAAGGTACTGGGGCCTCGTCAGCTATTTCCAAGGCTATCATTCTGCCTCAGCTTGCCTATCGCTCTCTCGCTCCTTTGCCCGTGCCCCACCCTCTTACCCTTCTCTCCTCCGTATCCCCTCATCTCCTGCAGCGCTCTCCCATCCCAACCGCTTCTCATGTCGAACCAACCCCTGCCTGTCTCTCTTTGTCAGGCAGTGCTGTTCCCATCCACATGTGACTCTCTCAAGGTACTGGAATTGCCGCAGTGATCTTCCGAGGCTGTAATCGTGCCACCCCACTCCCCCTCCCTCCCCTCACCCCTTCCTGCCCCTCCCCATCAGGTGGTGGTGTTCCTATCAACGTGTGACTCTGTCGAATTCCACGCCACCCTCCTCTCCTCCGCCCCCTCCTCTCCCCTCACCACCGGTTCCCCCCACCACCACCAACAAGAGCAACACCACCAGGAACAACAGCAGCACGACCAGCAGCAGCAGCAGCAGCAGGGTTTGCTGCCAGCGCCGGTGTTCAAGCTGCACGGCAACATGGAGCAGAAGGACCGCTCCAAGGCCTTCCTGGCCTATCGCAGCGCGCCACGTGGCGTGCTGCTGTGCACTGACGTGGCAGCGCGTGGCCTTGACTTCCCTGCTGTGGAGACCATTGTTCAGTTTGACTCGCCTGGCGATGCTGCTGACTACGTGCACCGGTACGAACCGCATTGCACCCATTCCAACTCTCAGTACCCTATTCCATTGCCCCATCCTGCTGCTGTTTATGTGCTTTTCTGACTTCATGCTTTCCAGTACGAACCTCGTTGAACCCAGTCCTATTCCTCGCATCCGCTCTAACCTACTCCTCTTGTCTCCTTTAACCTATGCTCTTCCTCCCCCAACTCCCAGAGTGGGGTGCACGGCTCGCATTGGCTGCAGCGGAGAGGCGGTCTTCCTCCTGCGGCCCAACAACACAGGAAGAAGTACCTGGACCTCAGGGGGGAGACGGTCCTCTTCCCATTCTTCCCTCCACATAACCAACGCTCCCCTCTTCCCTCTCTCCGGAACCAACCCCGCCCTCCGCCTCACACCCTCCCCCCCCCTCCCTCAACCCACCAGAGTGGGGCGCACGGCTCGCATTGGGCGCCGTGGCGAGGCGCCCAATGAAGCAGAGTAGCTGGTCCAGCTGCGCTCCATTCCCATCCCACCAAGCCCCCTCTCTTCCTCTTTCTCTCTTACCCTCCCTTCTTCCTCCAGAGTGGGGCGCACGGCTCGCATCGGCCGCAAGGGAGAGGCAGTGCTCTTCCTGCTCCCCAACGAAACAGAGTATCTGGACCAGCTGCGCTCCTGCAACGTGCACCTCCTCTCCATGCCTCTCCTCCCCCTCCTCGACTCGCTCCTGCCCGGAATCTCCGCCGAACCTGCACGGACCAATCGCAGGCGGCCCTCCTGGAAGGAGGTGAGTCCGGAGGAGGCTCTGGCCAATCACAGCGCGGTAGAGACGTGGCAGGAGGAGTTGGAATTGACGGTGGCGAGGCGGGCGGCGTTGAGGGAGCTCGCCACTGGGGCTTTTCGGTCGTTTGTGCGGGCGTATGGCGCGCATAAGGGCAGCTTGAAAAAGATTTTCCACCCCAAAAGGCTGCATCTGGGGCATGTTGCACGGAGCTTTGGGTTGTCGGAAACGCCGTCAGTGATTGGGAAATCGGCGACTAAGGCTGCTGCTGCTTTGAAGAGGAAGCAAAAGATACTGGGGCAACAACACAAGAAGCGGATGCGAGCTGCTACTGAGGGGGAATGAAAGACATTGACATCTATATATTGCCATTGATAAATGCGTGTGTTGTTTGTCCGATGCATGTAATATTGGAATATTGCTTTATTTTCTGAGATTGTATTTGCACCAAGCAATTGAGATATCTATCACCACAAACTGCACTGGTATTTCTAGGACGTTCGTTTTCTTGACGCTGTTTGTAACGCATACGGCAGCAGCCTCGCTTCTCGCACCTTCTCACACCTCGCTTCCCACTTCTCACACCGAAACCCAGGTCCGTGGATGCACGGCTCTCCGCATCCACCGGCGAGGTCTTTTCGTTTCCCTTCGTTTCCATATCACTCCGCCTGTTTCTTTCAGCCGTTGCGCGGACATTCTACTCAAATCGGACGCGATCTGATCTGATCCGTGATCTCCGATCGTGTCCGTTCGTCGTTCCGATGAGGCGCTGCATTGTGCGGCTCGAGCCGCATCTCCGCCGTCAGATCGGCCAACCGATCTCGACGGGACCATCTCCGCCGTTCGTCAGCAGCCCTGCCGGTCCTTTCGCCCCTCCGATTCCCCTTACTGGCCTATCCCTCTCCGAGCCGCCCTCTGCAGCCTTCGCTACTGCCGCCTTACCCCCCAGTGACGCCGCCAGTGGCGCCGCCAGTAGCGGCACTAATGCCGGCGGTAATGCCGGCGGCAGCGACGGCGATGGCGGCTGGGGCAGAGGTCGTGGCGGCCGCGGCTTCCCAGACGGGGGGAGAGGCGGCGGCATGTGGGGGAGGGGGAGAGGCAGGGGGGGATGGGGACCTGGCGCAGGTCCCCCCGCCCCCGGTTACGGGCGGTCATGGGGAGCGCCCGGATTTCATGCTCCTGGGAGATTTCCTCCAAGCGCGCCGATCCAGCAGCCCGTGGCTTCTTCCGCTGGCCAATCCCCCCCACTGACGCAACATGAGGTACAGCGCCCAGATGGCGCTTCCCCGCCGCATCCTCCGCCTCTCACCGCTCCCCCCGCTCCCTCCGTTCCCCCCGCCAGTGCCCCCACGGGACTGTCCCCCGCTGCCCTCTCCCGCATGCTCGTTGCGTACGAGCGCGCGGGGAGGGATGCTGACGTGGCGCGCGTGCTGGCCGACGCGCGAGCCGGCGGCGTTGCATTGGACAGCGGCGCGCAGGAGGCGGCGATCCGGAGCGTTGCGCGGAGGCGGGACCTGGGGGAGGCGGATCGGATGCTGGGGGAGGCGCGGGCGGCGGGTTTTGTCTTATCCGCGCCGACGTGGAACGGGTTGGTGGAGATGTACGCTGAGATGGGCGAGATCGAGCGGATGGAAGATGCTGCCGCCCAGGCCGCCCGCGCTGCCGCCCAGACTGCTACTCCTGCCGCCCATGCCGCCCCGGCTGCTCCTGCTCCTGCTGCTGGGGGCCCTGCTGCCACTTGGTCTCCCCCTCCCCCTCCCCCTCCTCCCCTTGCCGCTGCTCCTCCTCCACCCTCCGCGCCCGCTGCTGCTGCAGTCGGCAGTGAGAGCGGCGGCAGTGAGAGCAGTGGCAGCAGCGAGCAGCTGAGTGAGAGGGAGAGGGAGGAGATGCGCCTGAGGATGAAGCTCAGACGCCGGGCGGCAGATGCTGACTCACACGCTGACCTTGCTGCTCCGCTCGTTGCTGCTCCGCTCGTTGCTGCTCCTCTTGCCAGCCTTGATGCTGCTGCTGCTCCCTCCTCTCCTGCTGCTGCCACTACCCCATCCCCCCCATCTCCCCCATTCCCCCCATCTCCTCCGCCTCCGCGCTTTGCTCCGCCGCCCCCACCTGGCGTCCCGCCAGCCGCAGCGCCCACCGCCCCGCACGCCCCCCACCCGCCCCCCTCCCCACCCCTTATCTCGCGCCCCTCCTTCCCCCCGCCCGCCCCCCCTGACATCCCCATCCGCCCCCGCGCCTCGCATGCGCCCTGGCGTCTCCGCAGCTGCGCCTGTGGACGCGCCGTCAGACACGTCAGCTCCGGCTGCAGCTGACGTGGTAGCTGCTGACGTGGGCGCTGCGGCTCCGTCTGCAGGTTTGGGCCGAGGTGGTCTGATGCCGGCAGGGCGCGGGGCAGGCTTGGTAAGGCCGAGCCTGGGAGGTCCGGCAGCAGGCGCGGGGAGGGGAAGGCTGAGTTTCGAACGGCAGATGGAAGGCTGGAGGGGCGCTGAGGGGGCGCGGGAGAGGGGGAGGGAGGGGGGGAGGGAGTTGGGGAGGGAGGGGAGCAGGGAGGGGGAAAGGGAGAGGGTGATGGAGAGAGGGAGGGAGGGGGAGAGAGAGGAACAGAAGCAGGGGCAGGGGGGAGTGGGAGGGGTGGAGGCAGGGAGGGGTGCAGCTGCTGACATCCCCCCACAGCAGCACCCTCCCCCCTTGAACCTCTCTCGAGAAGACGCCACCGAACGTGCCCTCGGCATCCTTACCGCAGCTATGGCCAAGGCTCGGGACTCCTCCCGAGCCTCCTCCCGCCGCGACTCCGTCAGCCAGTTTGCCTCCGAGGCTCTCGGCTCGGTTATGTCCCGCCGCAGGCTCGGCGCAGGTCCGGGAGTTCCGGGGGGAGGAGGCCCGGGAGGGGGGGGAAGGGGGGGGCGCGAGGAGGGGAGGCGCATGGGGGGGCCGGGACCTGGGGGGCAGAGGAGAGGGGGGATAAGGGAGGGGGAGCAGAGGAGGGGGATGAGAGAGGGGGGGCAGAGGGGTGGGGGAATGGGGATGGGTTTGGTAATGGACAGACAGGCGGAGGGGCAGGGCGGGCAGCAGAGGCCGCGGGTGGGCGGAGGGGGCAGGCGGGGGAGGGGGGAGCTGGTGACGGGGGAGAGTGTGGTGCAGAGGTTTATAGAGGAGTCAACGTGGAGTGAGGAGGACGAGCGGCAGGTGGGGGAGTTTCTGGACTTCCTTGAAGCTGCTGACGTGGCTAATGCAGCACTGCACCAGCGGTTCATGGTGGGTGGACGTGGGTGTGTGGTGGATTGATGTGGATGCACTTGTGTGGCTGTCTCACTGATGGCCTCTCCCCCATCCTCCCTTCTCATCCTTCCCTCACCCCAGCTGGACTTCGAGCCAGAGTAAATCACACCGGACGAACTCCCCCCAATCAACCCCCTGCTGGAAGAGAAGGAGCAGCAGCAGCAGCAGCAGCAGCAGCAGCAGCAGGCGGGTGCAGGAAGGGGCTGGCAGCCAGTGCAGTGAATTGAGTGAGTGAGGCATCTCACATCGTGCCCACGTACCCCTCTCTCCCCCATGCACCCCCCTCGTCCCCCCTTAGGTTGATTTCGAGCCAGAGTACATCACCCCGGACGACTTCTCGCCCATCAACCCCCTGCTGGCGGAGGAGGAGGAGCAGCAGCAGGCGGGTGAGGGGCCGTCGCTGGAGGAGGTGATGGTGGCGGCCAAGGCCGAGCTTATGGCGCTGACAGGCATGCAGAGCGAGGAGGAGTTCCAGGTGGGTGAAGGTGGAGGCCCTTCTCTATGTGCGTACAGCGTGTCTATTTGTGTGTCTCTTTGTGTGCGTGAATGGGGTTGTGGAGGGGCATCAGGCCCCTCCCTCTGGTCTACAGCAGCCCCTTGCGCTGCCCCCATCCTTTCCCCTTGCTCCCTCTGCCCCTCCCGCACTTCCTCCTGCGCTCACTACTCCTCACCTCCCCCAGTCCGCCCTGCAGAGCTGCCTATCCCGTGCCGACGAGCTCGAGGCCCTAGTGGAGCTGTATGCAGGGCCGCAGCGCATCACCCCCTTCGTTCTCCCTGGCTCTCTCCATCTATCTGTTTCTCCCACCATCCCAGTCTGCCCTGCAGAGCTGCCTCTCCCGAGCAGATGAGCTCGAGGCCCTGGTGGAGCTGTATGCGGGGCCGCAGCGAATGACTGCTCTGCAGGAGAACAAGGCGCTGCAGGAAGCCGCTGAGAAGCTTCCTCCCAGCGTGTCCCCGCAGGCCGTGGCATTCACCAAGCGCGCTCTGCTCACCCTGCAGGTGGGGCTGGTTAGGGCTTTAAGTTTAACATTTGGGGTTGAAACTTTTTGTTTTGACCACACATATCGGTAGGTGCAGTGGGTAATGGCTCACCATGCGGGTGGGTGTGACTGTAGGCATGACGGCAGGTGGGTGTGCTGTGTCCCTCCTGAACAGCCTTTCTCCCATGGTGGATGTTTTTTCCGCCTGCTGCTCTCCACATCCTCATTCATGTGGGCCTCTCTTCTCTCCCTGTTCCTCGCTGCCTTCCTTCCTGTGTGGCAGAACAACCCATCGTGGACGTTTGCACAGAAGCAGAAGATGATCGGCAGCATTGTGAGAGGGTTCTCGGCGTCGGCTTGATGGGAGCTGAGCTGACTATGACGGCAGGTATGCATGAGGAGGCAGGATGGGATGGTCTTTCGGGCTACCACGCAGAAGCAGAAGATGATCGGCAGCATTGTGAGGGGGTTCTCATCCTCGCCTGGATGGCGGTTAACATACCGAGCGGTTGGCATGCCGATAAGGGTTTTTTAGGTCTGCTGTCCAAGGTTAAAGCAGAAGATAGTCAGCAGCATTCTCAGAGAGTCGTTCCTTGTCGCCCGCATTACATATGGTGGACGTGAGAGGCGATGGCAGCCAGAGAGGATATCTCTTTTTTTATATGTATATGCTGTTAGCAGCAGTGTGATGGAATCCTGACAGCTTGGTGCTGCGTCGAGTAGTTTACATGCTTAGACGCAGTATTGCATACTGGTTCAATGCGGTTAACGCAAAATACACACTACAATTCCATTTTACGAATGTAATCACATTGTTTTCTAGCCTGTACAAGGCAACATATATTTTTGGCTCCTTCATACTTCTTTACACGCCTTACCTATTTGCAAATAACAACTCGCTGCTGAAAACAATCTGCTGGCTTCGCATCCACAAACGGGTTCGCTGGTACCATCACTTTTTTCCGCGGGAAGCGCACAAGGCACGTCGGGTCACCATGGGTCACCCAATTGGGGCTCGCGAAGGCTGCTAATCGCAAATCGAGATACGCAGTATTGAGGCTTGTGATTGTGCGCCCTGTGTCGCCGTCCTTTTCGCAAGTACTTGTTACATGGGAGAATCTGGCGGGAACGGGTTCGAGAAGAAATAGCGGTTGAGTGCGGTGTCACTGACAGGCCCAAGGGTTTCTCGTTGAGAGAGAATGCACTCCCTGATCCCCACAGGAACATATTCCCTTGCAGGCTCTTTCAGACTTGCAGGCTCTTTCCTCCTTCCCCTTGCAGACTCACAACAACCTTTGCTGATCGACGATTATTAGGAGTCACGTACCTGATTAGTAGCAGAATCAATAAGCTGATCAGATAATAATTTATTACTTTGTCCTCCGTTCACAATGCCAGTCGGTTCGCCGATCCAGCGGTTACCTGAGGATGTTCTTTCTCGGATCCTGCGGTTTCTGGTTCGACCTGAGGGCCTGTTGGAGCACGCATTTGTTAGCAAGCAATGGCATCGGATTGCGTACCGCGCACAATACCAGCTCCGCTTGCCCAATAACCTCCGTATGGATCCGCGTCGCGTCGTTCAGCTTTTGTCGCCGTTCCCTAACCTCGAAGAGCTCATCCTTTCCTATGACAGCCTCGCCTCCACCCCTAATTTTTTATTCTCCCACCTCGCTAGCACGTATCACCATTTGACCCAGCTTCATGTCGAATCGATGTCACGTGGATCTAGACCCGGAGGTGTATCTGAGAAGAGCCTCGTTGTGCTGTTCGAGGGGTGTACGCGGCTGGAAGATCTTAAATTTCATTGTTCGGAGCATTCTGCCATTCCCACGTCGATCGACCGGCTTACACGGCTCAGAAGCTTAACAATCGGGGGAAGCGTTACGAGCCTTCCTGGCTCCCTTACTTCGTTACAACATCTCAGGACCCTCGTGCTGAACACTTACATGATCGAAGCTTTGCCTGAAGATTTCGGCAATTTGGTTTCCTTGACGTCTCTGGAGCTGAACACGTGCAGCTTGACGTCACTTCCGGACTGCTTCGGACAGCTTACCGCTCTGAACCGTCTTTCCTTGAATCATTCCAGGACGTTGCAGCTGCCGGCCTCTTTCACCGAGCTCTCTTCTCTCGCCGTCTTGGAGTGTCGACGATGCAGGATACTTCCTCCGTCGCCGGTCGATTTCGGTCAACTGAAGGCACTCGAAACCATCATTTTGGTTGAAGTGAGGGGAATGCGCGACTTGGTTGCGGATCTGGAGCATTTTCAGCGAGTGAAGACCCTGATTATTAAAGACTGCTTCGATGTCACGTCTCTGCCCGCGTCTCTTCCCCGCCTGCCTGCACTCACCAAGCTCACCCTTGATATCGACAGACTCTCATTGCTGCCCGAAGATTTCGGGCAGTTGTCAGTGCTTCGGACACTCGTCCTGGAGCTAAGCAGTCTCACAGCCTTACCTGATTCCATCGCCTTGATTACTTCACTGCGAGAGCTGTCCCTCAATGACTCTCAGGATCTGAGATATCTTCCCCAGGAGTTCGGGCAGCTGGTTTGTTTGGAGAAGCTGTATCTGAAGAGCCTTCACCAGCTCAAATGTCTGACTGAATCTTTTGGGCAGCTGACAGCTCTCCGGGAGCTGAAAATACTGGAGTGTTGGCACCTCGAGGAACTTTCGGGCTCCCTATCCCAGCTATCTTCTCTCGAGCATATGGAGATTAAGAGTTGTCCGCGCCTCACGGTGCTGCCAGACGACATGGGGAACGGACTGCAGTCCTTGCGCCATCTGCTTCTACTGGAGTGCATGGCTCTCACCCACCTCCCCCCAACTTTCTCCGGCCTGACGTCTCTCGAAACTCTCAAGATTGAACGCGCGAAACGCTTCAGGGGCGCGTTGCTAGACGGCTTTGGCAGCTTGAAGAGCCTCAAGGAGCTGTCGCTCGATACTATGCCGCGCCTATCCGCCCTTCCTGCCTCCTTCTTTGGCGTTTCTTCCCTCACCAGCCTGGAAGTGGGAAATTGCCCGAAAGTGACGGTCCTGCCTGAGGGGATCGGACGGCTGGAGGCGCTCGAGGAGGTCAGGATCTTTGGAATGGACGGCCTGATATGTCTCCCGCCGTCGCTTCTTGAGCTGCCCTGTCTGCGAGCGTTGGACGTGCGGGCTTGTGACTCACTAAGCGGGGTGTTAGGCGATGAGACGGTGCTTAGACGCACTGCCAGGGGCTTTGTGACCAGCACCGGCAGCAGGAGCAGCAGTCACCCTCTGCTTCCTTCCATTCAGAGCCTCAAGTTTAAAGCGCTCAATGTGGAGTCATTTGGTCCATCCCTTGGTCGGCTGTCCTCTCTGACGCAGTTGAAGCTCCTGGAGATATACAAACTTGACCTTCTCCCTGACTCCATCTCCCAACTCTCGCAGCTGCAAAGGCTCAAGATTGATACGGCCTACCATCTGAAAGCACTGCCCGAGACCCTTGGGGGGCTGGCAGGGCTGCGTGTCTTGCAGCTGGTTAACCTCCTCTCAATGCGGCAGCTGCCAGAGTCTCTTGGGCAGCTGAAGATGCTCGAGACCCTGGAGATTATTGACTGCTACAAGCTGATGCAGCTTCCAGAGTCCTTCGTAAAGTTATCCAATCTACGATCCTGCTCTCTCATCATGATTGGAATCCCAAGCATTCCGGATGACATCTGGAAACTTTCTTCGCTCCAGAAGTTGCTGATTCTGGGACTGAAGCACTTACGAAGCTTGCCAGATTCGTTCACTCGGCTGCCTAAGCTTGAGCAGCTGGAGGTGATCATATGCAAGAAGCTGACTCGGCTGCCTGCGTCTCTCCGGAAAATGCCAACGTTGCGTGAGTGCCAGATCAGTGAATGCCCTTTGCTGTCAAGGCGAGACACAAGAGGGGTTCCTGCAAGAGAGGAGGGAGAGGGGGAGGATGATGGAGAGGGAGGGGATGCGGAAGAGGAAGAAGGGGAGGAGGGAGGCGATGTGGCTGGGGAAAGGGAAGAGGCGGGCGGGGAGGTATCGGAGGACGAAGAGAGTGGGGCTGAAGATGAAGATATTGATCATGAGTATGCCATGGACAGTGACCATGAAATGCGTTTCAGCAGAGGCATGGGGGGGGTTGATGATGATGAGTAGAATAAATCAGATGGCAGAAATGGTGCGGACCCTAAACTGTAAACCCGAAACCCTGCGGAGTGTTGGAAGCTGGGGATTGGGAAAACATGCCTTATGATGTGATTGCCTATGGAAAGGTGATGCGCTGTGTAGGTAACGCTCTTTAGCAGATACCGCATTGCTGTGCAGTGCAAATTGGTGGATGTGATTCAGCTTTGTGCAATGTATGTGTGTCTGCCTTTTACTTTTATGGTTGAAGGCAGATACGGTAACAGTTTCCATTTTTGCATATCTCCTCAGAATGGACATCATATGGTAGTGTTGTTATTTATGCCATCAAGTGTAGTTTGACTTCAAACCAGGATCCACATGTGTCCTTGGTTCGGAGGTATCGGAGGACGAAGAGAGTGGGGCTGAAGATGAAGATATTGATCATGAGTATGCCATGGACAGTGACCATGAAAATATAATTTTTAAACACACATTGTGTTTTTTAAAATTGTGTATTGTGAAAGCGAAGCTACTTGTACTGCACAATTGGCATCGTCGAAGCGCGCTAAACGCCCTTCTCCAACTACAAAAACCGTGGGTTGGAGTTCATTTCCCTCCACCCACGTTTCTCGATTTTCAAACGGCTCACTCAACACTTCTACTCACGTAGTTTATCCCTCCGTCCAAGCTGTCTAGAACAAAATCGCTTCCTAGAGGCGAGTCACCTTCGACCTTACTCAACGATATTTTTAACTTCAATCGCTCAACGATGGCACCGACGCCGACACTTAACAACGGGAACTCGTCCAACCCCGCCTCCGACAACGACCGTAACACCCGCGATTTGGCGGGCGAACGCCGTAACAAGCGACGGGCAGAAGATGGACCGCCCGCCCCGACTGCAGTGGACGTGCTGCTGGGCGGGCTCGAGGTCAACAATTCGGCCAACGCCCAGCAGCACCGTTCGGCGCCAGTGGCGCCAGTGGCACCTGAGGTGCCTGTGGCGCTAGTGGCACCTGCGGCGCAAGTGGCGACGGCCGCGGGCGTGGCACACGCCATTGACGCCGAGCACACGCCAGCACCCGCGGCTGGACCGTCGCGTCAGCGCCAGAGGAGGCGGACGGCGGTCTCCTCGTCTGACGCGACGACCGCCCCTGCGTTGACGCAGGCGTTGACCCCGGACCAGGTCAACGCGCTGCTGTCCCTTTTACAGCAGCAGCCCGTCAGCGTTACAGCCGCGGAAACTGCACTACCCGCT